CAACGATTGTCTCTCAAAATCGCGATTAAGGTTTATATGTTTTCGGATCCTTAAATCTGACCTTTTGTAATAGATCATTTTATAAATGGACAAAAAATCTTTGTAAATCCTTGAGATTGACGGCGCTACAAATTTATCTGACTTTTTGATTTAGAACGCTGTGTCGCTGTTTACTGGCCATTATTATTCAAACGATTCTGTACAATTCGTAACGCTCGTTTAAGTATTTATATCTTAATCTGTATCACACTCGTCTTTTTCACGACAACCTTTCATCTCGTTTATGAATCAAATTCCAGGTTGTCAAAATGTACAATACGAAGAAATGTACAAAAAGTTATTCGAATATACAAACCCGTAATATTCTATTTTGTACCTGATCTTCTTCTTCTCTCTAATCTATTCATTGTATACGGTCTATTCGTTAAAGGACGACGACAAACTCGAATAGTGAGACATCTGAGTGAATCATCGATTCGAATAAATGACGTAAATCTTAACCGTAAACAACGTCAGCTAACTATTATGCTACTAACTATATCATTCTCATTCTACCTGTTCACAACACCGGCAATTATTGACTATATTAGTCAACTTCATCCGCCCAAACATCGAAATATTCAGAAATTAAAGATATTATTCTTAAAAAGACAATTTACTGTTCTTCTAATTCAGATGAACAATGCTACTAACTTTATTTTTTATTGTCTATCAGGACAACGATTTCGTTCAGTTTGTGTTGAAACACTGAGAGAATATTATTATACACTAAAGTACATATATCATCGATATCTTCTAAGACAAAAATTCTATACAAGACCACAACAATTCTATTATGATACGAGAAGATGCTCAGTATTCATGTGGCAAAATACACAGAGACATAAATCGTTATTTTTACAATTGTCTTTTACAAGATAAACAAATTACGATAAAGGAAAACTATCTAGTCTGAACAACTTTTCGAAGTGCGTATACGCTAGAACGCTATAGCGTTCTAGCGTTGGAAAAATAACACTATGTTGTGTGAATGAATAAAATTGTATATAACGGACTTATTGATGCTATTGATATTTTAATCAACAAACATCTTTAACTAATGATACTAATTTAACAAACTCTTGTGTTTTGAAAAAAATTCATCCCAATTAATATTTTCTTACAAATCACACGTATTAATTTTAAAAGATAAATTATAATAATTTGTCTATTCAACTAAAATATAATTTCATTCACAACGACTCATCTTCACATATTTCATAATAATTCAAGATCGATCAACATTATTACCGTTAATTATTAATATCTATTTAATTAAGAAATTATAAGGTTTGAACTATTGTTAGCACCAAACATCATTATCAGATTCAGCATGTCTGGGGGATTACGTATGATCCGCACGATTGCAAAGTTACCACTAGTCACACGGTATCAGTATTAGGACTCGAGCAGAAATCCGAAAATCGCACGGTATTACGGAAAATCAAGATCTCGTTTGATTTCTATTTTAAAGAACACGCCTCGTGCTATCTACTCATTTAGAAAAATCACTCTATTAGTACTATATTTTATAAAGAACCAAATCGTTTTCCTTAAAATCTCCTATTTCGGAAACTGATTACTCAAACGATTTTTCTTGTGAAAAGATGCTCTATAGAATGGTGCACTTATAAGAGAATAAACGTTTTTATTTTTCTAGCACTGTCGCCATGCAAGTATAACAGAGTATTTTTTAAAAGTTTCAACTACTTTAAATGGATATTGAGATAGTAATTCTAATTTTATATGGTCATGTTCACTAGGTTTTTTCAATTTGTTTCAGTAGTCGATTTCAATATCGATTTCTATCACTTTTCCGTTGTGATTTATAAGAAAGATAACACTGATATGTTCTATTTTGAAACGGATAGTAGTTCTCCGACGACAATATTCTGATAACTGAAATGAGTAATATTGTCCCATATAAACTATGGATCGTCACTGTTGGTTGGCAATTAAAACACAAAACTCCTTCTATTTTTGAAAACTTGGATGAAATCTTATTGAAAGTACAGATCTATCATACTCTATACACATCGATAAGAAATAAAAAAAATTATCAAACATTTTAATGGCATCGAATTTGTTAACAATCAGAATAACGATAATCCCCAAATGTACTCTCGTTTTTTTTTTGACGAAATGTAGTGGTAAATGTTCATTTTCACCTCAGAGCTACAGAAGAAAATGGAAAAATGAATTTAGGGCTTTTATTGTAAACTCTATAACTTCGCAAAGAAAGGTCGTGTAGAGCTAGAAGATGTCTCATTTTGATCAGAATTTCGCGGGCTACAATCGCGATGTATTTAGAAAAGGTTTTACGGATTTCGGTTTGGTTTTCCAGAAATCGGTTAGGAAAGACTTATGAACCCTAATGAATATTATATTCGAAATCAGCATGGTCGATTACCTACAACCCACTATATTTCATTAATAAAACGAGAGTACATTTGGGGTGATTCCCTCGTTAGCTTTGCAGTTAACTGCAAAACTAAATTTACTGTTCTGTATCGATATTGATGTAAACGTAGTTTATTTAACGTGTGGGGGAGGGGGAGGCAATCGAATCATTATAGCGCCCACGACAAGTAAAAACTCACAACTTAAAAAAACACAGAGAAAACAGGGTGGAAAGACAAATAAAAAAGAGAAGAAGAGAAGGAGAAAGAAAGAAAAATAAAGAAGATAAAAACAGGAAAAAAAAACATTTATAGAAAACGTTTTGTTTCACCAATATAATGTGTGACGGCTTTATATACTGTGGAGTTTTGCTCATGATCGGTTAACGATGGACTGAGTAGTAACAGCAAGTCAGAAAGTGTAGGATTTGATCTTAATATAGGCTGCAGGTCATACAACATTTTTTGTCTGAGTACATTGTAGTTCTTGTAATCCAGAAGAAAATGTCTAGCAGACTCTTTCTCCCCACAGGTGCACAAACCGCTAGGAACAAGATTCCTTTTAAATAGTGCTGCATTAATAGGCGGAAAATGAGTAGCAAACTGGACAAAAATTTTTTCTACTCTTCTCGGAGCGGTGGGCCTTTTGAAATACGTAAGAGAATATTTTTGAAACAACTCCTGCTTAATTATATTCTGTATCTATATTCTGTATAACACTTGAAGTTGTGCAATCGACTCGATGTTACCAGTAGTAATATAAACTTTTTTAGTATGGTTTTTGCGTTCTGTTTTGATACATAAGTTTACAACGAGCATATCTATCCTACAATAAACTGTGCTACCATCCAAAAAATTTTGTGACATTGGTATTGAAATGATTATTTTTAATTAAAGAGACTATTTTGGCAATAACTTTTTCTATGATGAGTCGTTTTCAAGTTAATCATCTATGCAATACGATCGTTGGTTGAAAAATCATTTACCAATGAAGCGCGGTAAAAGAAAATCTATATTTTCTCACTATAGTTATAGTGATGTGTTATTTTTATTTTAATAAATAGCAAGTCTGATCAATTAATCAATTTGAAGCTTTAAAAATAAAACAGAAGTTCAAAAATCTGCATCTATAGATAATTTCATCTAAGGTCTAATAGTAAAAGTAAAGCTTTTATATATCTTTTGTTAACAATCTTTGTACTAATCTGACTTCCAAGCCCGTATAACAATTTCAGTTTTTTTAGTGTTCATTGACTTTTTTTTTATTAACAAAGAAAAAAAGAAATTTAAGTAAACCATAAAAAAGGAAAAACTTTTTCCATTTTCAGTTCTTATAGATAATGATACTTGCTAATATTTAAACAAATATTTCTTGTTTCTTGATTCATTATTTTCAGCAAAAATGCGCGCGCCCAAAACAAAATTGAGAAAAAGAGATAGATTGATAGAGAGAGAGTAACAATGCATAAAATACAAACACTCACACAAACACACAAACTGCACTGCTTCTTTTTTTTAAACTTTTTATAATTAATAGACAAAGACGTTCAAGACTGCTCCGAAAAAATGAAGAGAGCGAGAGAGAGAGAGAGAGAGAAACTAGCACTAAAAAGATGAAAGAAAGGATAATGAACACAGTATAAAGGCTAAGTACATCGAGATATAAACAGCTAGATAGATAAACATATTTATAAAACGCATACAAAAAAAAATTTTTTTCCACTGTATTTACAGTGGAGGAAAAAACTCTTTCATTTTGAGGACGATTTTTTGAGAGAAAAACGTTTTACAAAAGTATTGGTGAAAAAGTGAAGATCATACGAATTAAATGCAGAGAGACTTAGATCGTAATTAATGATACATTCAAAAAAGAGTTAGAATACTGTACTCAAGGTACAATCATATCACTTCACTTCACTATACCTTACAGGGCGTGTATAATGTGCCCATAGGCGATTAAGTGTTCATTACTTATACAAACTATGATTTTAGAAACGGAAACAAAAAAAGCCAACCATAAAAAAAGCGAGAAAAATAGTAAGAATACAAGCAGTATTATTATTATTAGAGAGAATGGATATATATAAAGCAGCCGTTAAAAAGAAGAGAGAAAGCGCGCGCGGGCATACAACATTGCTCATGAATAATAGAGAAAAGAGAAAGAAATTGATAAGTATGTGTAATGAATATGCTCTAATTTGAGTAAAGCTTTATTTTTTCCTATTAGTAAAAAAAATTTAAGTATTTTATACGCACAAATAGACAACAACAAAAAATATGTATTAGGCTAGTTCGAGTTTATTTTACAAGATTTATTTTCTTTTATTTTCACCGTCATTTTTTCATCCGTTTTTGGTTTTGCTTTATCTTTGAAATCTAATTTTTTACTTTCAATCTAAATAAAAATATATCTGTAAGATGAGACTGTTTTTTGATTTATATAANTTCCTATTAGTAAAAAAAATTTAAGTATTTTATACGCACAAATAGACAACAACAAAAAATATGTATTAGGCTAGTTCGAGTTTATTTTACAAGATTTATTTTCTTTTATTTTCACCGTCATTTTTTCTGTTGGGGTTCAAATACTTCATCGTGTGTATCATCATCTTTTTGTGGATCACCTGTTGCTGTTGCACTTGCTTCACCACTATTACTGGCTCCACCTTGTTCACTATTGACAGTTGCTAAACCACTATCCGTTTTTGGTTTTGCTTTATCTTTGAAATCTAATTTTTTACTTTCAATCTAAATAAAAATATATCTGTAAGATGAGACTGTTTTTTGATTTATATAAAAAATCTTGAGTAGTTACTAAAACTCGATCGAACAGGAAAAAAATGACTTATTTTATTATATAAACTTACTTTAACTGTTCCACCACCAGCTTTATGATGAGCATTTTCAAGCGAACCGACTTTTGATTTAGCTGTCCATTGTAATTTTTGATTAGCAATCTATTGATATGAGACACAAAAGAAAATACATAGCAGCATTACTGCACACAAAGATATCTCTCACATCTGAACAAGCATCAAAAAGTTCCCCTAAGCGACTATTAACTTTTGATGAAATACATGGAGACTCTTAGAAAACGCATAAAAATAGAGAAAGGAATCCTACCTTTACACTCCCACCACCTGGTTTATGTGTGGCATTATTCAACGAGCCAACTTTTGGCGTTGCATTCCATTCAGGTTTTCTGTTTGTTATCTAAACAGTGTAAGAGAGAACTATAGTATTTATAGACGATTAAAATAACACAAGAAAAATATTTCGATAAACAAAAACGTCAAAGCAGATGGTGAAAAAAATAACTCATGTGGCTCATTACGATTTTTATAGAAGCGCAAAAGAAAGAGGCTAAAAAAGAAAAAAACAAAATAGATGGTTAATGCACGTTAAAGCAAGTTTATTAAAAGATACCACTAATGCATTAATATCATCATTGTCAACAAAACGTGGTGATTGAATCGATGGTAAAATCTAAACAAAAAACTTAAGATATTTACAGATAACATATAACTAAAAATTATCAGAAATATGCATAAACAATTTTATAACAGACAGTTGCAGTTATACTTCATCTTGTTAAAAGTCAAATGCAAAAGGTATCGAAAAAACTTTACTAAAATATTTCATTTTAATTACTTGTTAGTGTTTTAGTAGTAGAATTCGGACTCATACCGATGACTCTGGTTTTGACGATGTGTACATCAAACAACACGTTGCACAACGCTAGTAGCGCTGCACAAATACAGAAAAAAAAGAAGACTATACTTCTCTTTTGTAGATTTGAACCTGGAAACAGATATAGTATGCTTTTTCTTTCTTTCTTAACATCCGTAGTAAACTCCGTCATGTCCATTTACGACATCTTCAGTTATACATTACTACTTTTAGAGTCAATGGTATAAAAAACAAGGTTTCTAAAATGTAAGATACAATATAGTTTGTAGTTAGTAATATTAACATACTCTGTATTTTGTTAAATTATATTGAGATACATCATCAATTTTATAATCAGCTGCTTTTCGTAATGGACTAAGTCGTTTCTAAAAATATATTAAAAATTCAATTATTATTTTACATTTATTGTAAATTAACAAGTAGCATACTCGTTCTAATGCTGATAATGTTTGACGAGATGATGTTTTAGGATAACTTAAATAAGACCAATTCCAACAGTCAATGTGAGTAGCAGGATCAAACTAAAAGCAAAAACAAAGATTAAAGCATGTTAAAAATTAAAGTAAATATGTCGACAAAATTCTTACATGAATTGGCTTTGATTCTATTTGTTGTTCTTGATTAGGTTGTTTTTCATAGAGATTTAATTGAGTTGATTCTTCCTTTATCATAGATCGTTCGGGACTCTAGAACAAACATAATAAATTATGAATTTAACAAAAGTATCCTGTATTTCTTAATCAAAGGGAAATTGTTTAACTGGGAGAGGTGCAGTAAAAGTATCAGTTCATCAAATAATGTACCTACCAGAATGTACTTTGATCTAATTCGAGATCGACGATAACGTCCATTAAGCCATGTATCAACAATCGGTTTTCCCTCGACATAAATTGGTTTATTCTAAAAATTACAGCGTCAAATGTTTTTACTCTACTTTAGTTACAAAAACCAAAAAAGAAAGAGTTAAACTTACACACCATCGAAGTAGAGAATGTTTTCTGAAATAAAATGATAACAATATGATAGATGACAAATAAAACAAGATTTATAGATACATACGTGTTCAAGAGTTGTTGATGACAAAGAACGAGTTCTCCGTTGTGCTACGTCGATCTGAAATAGATAACAGCTAATAGACTAAAGACATTTAAGCATTCAGATAAACATCAATTTAGAAAAAATACGTACCTCATTCATCCAATTATCAATTGTTGACCGTGGTTGAATATAAACAGGTTTGTGTTTTATTTCAGAATCACTTGCTGAATGATGACGTTTAGATGTTTTGATGTTTGACCAAGAATCGATTTGAGAATGTCCAACAATGTGAATTGGTTTGTGAATAACTTTATCAGAGGAAGACGTTTGATGATGTTGTAGTGGCAAATTATTCCATGTATCCAATGTGGATTTACCATCGATATTTATGGGATGATTAATCGATGGTGTTTGATGACGTTGTAATGGCAAATTATTCCATGTATCCAATGTGGATTTACCATCGATATTTATGGGATGATTAATCGATGGTGTTTGATGACGTTGTAATGGCAAATTATTCCATGTATCCAATGTGGATTTACCATCAATATTTATGGGATGATTAATCGATGGTGTTTGATGACGTTGTAATGGCAAATTATTCCATGTATCCAATGTGGATTTACCATCAATATTTATGGGATGATTAATCGATGGTGTTTGATGACGTTGTAATGGCAAATTATTCCATGTATCCAATGTGGATTTACCATCGATATTTATGGGATGATTAATCGATGCCAATTGTTTTCTATCAGATGACTAAATTGGAAAAATAAAATAAACGAATTAGAACATTAAAATATATAGAAGTAAAAGAAAAAGAGTTCAGTTATACTTTATCTGTTCTCCAAGTATCGATAGTAGCTTTAGCATTCACATATATGGGTTTGTTTGTTATATTTGTTAATTTTCGTTGTTTTTGTTGTTGTTGAGTTAACCATGTTTCAACTTTTGCTTTTCCATCAATATGATGAATTGAATCTTTTCGTAATAACGTTGAATCCTGTTGATGTGATAAATTAACCGTATTCCATGTGTCTATCGTTGATTTGGCATTAATATTTATTGGCTTATGAACAAATGATGGTATCTTTCGAATGGATGATTTTTCAAACTAAATATAATAGTAAAAAAAACAACAGGTAGATAAAATTTGAAAAGCTGAAGATTTCCTCAAAACACTTACGTGGTTTTCTCTCCAAGTATTGATGGTTGCCTTTGCATCTATATAGAGTGGCCTATTTTTATTTAATTCAATTGTACTTGCTGATTTTCGTCGTTTTTGCTGATGATTTGACCATGTTTCAACTTTTGCTTTTCCATTCGTATAAATCGATTTTTTTTGTAACGACATCGAAACTGAACGATAACGACGAAATAAATTAGTTGTATTCCATGTGTTCAAGGTAGACTTAGCATCAATATTATAAGGCTTTGATTTAACCACTTTTGATCGTCTTTCATCTCTGTTAACATTCATTTTCCATGTATCAATTTTTGATCGAGCTTCAACATGAATTGGTTTAAAATTAATCTAGATAAATAAAAAAAATTTTAAAATTGTACAAAAATCTACATTTTACAATATACTTACATCTATTGCACTCATACTTTTTCTATAATTATTCCATGTATTGATTGTTGGTTTAACATTTTCAAAATTAAGTCTTCTATTATTAATAACGGTAGCTGAAAGTGATCGAGATCTTTTTTCTCTATCTATTTGCCAACAGTCGACTTTTGATTTCATTAGATAATGATGTGGAGCGTGTTTTGACTCAAACGATTGATGATGATGTTGAGAAGAACGTGTTATGTCATTCCATGTATTTAATGTAGATTTTGCAACAATATTTATTGGACGATGGTGGAACTAAATTTATGCAATAAAATGATTTTTTTTTCTATTGTACTTTAATGTAATCGAACAAACCTCTAATCCATAGTGGGATGATTTTTGTCTTGATGAACTTGATACTTGTTTCCAACAATCAATACGAGATCGCGGAGAGTAACGAAAAATTCTAGATGATGATTTATACTAAATTTAAAAAATTTCATTGAAACACATGAATATTGTAGAAATCATATTTTTTAACAAACACACTTGATCAATAGCTGTTTTTGTTCTTTTTCGATTCACAGTATTCCAAGTATCAATTCGAGATTTTGAATCAATTACAACCTTTTCATTCTAAATAAAACAAAAATTGATTAATTTCATTTGAAAAGAATAAATGACTATGAAATATCATACAATAATTTTCTTGTATGTTCGATTTTGATCATCATTATCATAAAATAACCATGTGTCTAGTTTAGATCTTGCTTCAACATGAATTGGTTTGTGTGCAATCTAATATAGAAATAAACAAAAAAAAGAGAATAAAATCTTTGATGTTAAAATAGCTGAATTTCTAAACTCTTACATCAATTGCACTTTTTGACTTTCTATAATTATTCCATGTATTAATGGTTGGTTTAATGTTATCAAAATTAAAGGGATCAGTTTTTACAACAGATAATGAGTGAGATATTCTCTTCTTTTTTTCATCTTCTTCTCGCCAACAATCCACACGATGTTTTGATAATAAATGTAATCGTTCATTTTTGATACTCTGTAAACAGAATATTTATTAAATATATTTCAAAATTATGAAGATTTCTTATACTTACATTTATTTTAGATAATGCTCGTCTATGAGATGTTGATAACCATGAATCAATTCTTGAACGTGCATCAACATGGATAGGTTTATTGTAAAACTAAAATATTATAAACAAAATAAACGAATATTAAAACTGATAAAGGGTCACTTGTTTACCATTTTATTATCTGTCCAAGATCGTTTTGTTGATGCTGATAGATGCCATGAGTTGACTTTAGCATGGCCATCGATATGTAACGGATTATGAATGACCTATTGAGAAGAAGAAAAGAAAAAAAAAAAATTCTAAATCTACAGATGGATACAACGTGCAAATAGAAGTCTTACTTTGAAATCTGATAGAACCGGGTTAGATGATGCTGATCGCCATGTATCTATTCGAGCACGAGCATCAAAATGTAATGGACGATGAACCTAATGATAAAAAATAAGTTTAAGTTAAGTTCTTACATTAGAAATATATATTATTATAATTCTTTTGCATTACCTGTGGTGCACTTGACCGTCGTTTCACTTGGGATACATTCCATGAATCAATTTGTGCACGAGCAGACACGTAGAGCGGTTGATGTTGAATCTAATTGAACGTTATTATTTATTAAGAATAGAAATATTGTTTACTGATACATACTCTTTTCTTATATCGTCGCTGTTTTGATGTTGATGTCACAAGCCAAGAATCGATTCTTGATTGTCCAGTAACATGAACAGGATGATTTTCTATCTAAATGAATGAAAAAATAGATCAAGTGAAGTATCTGCATAGAGAATGAAACTTTCAAATTACCATTGGAGTATTTCCCATTCGTTTTATTGTTTTTATTCCCCACGCGTCAATTTTTGAATGAGCATGCACATGCATCGGTTTGTGAATAACTTTTAAATTAGTCAAATCTCTTCGATATGGTAATTTTTGCCAGGTATCAATACGAGATCGTGATTGAATATGAAATGGACGATGAATAATTATGGGAACACTTGTTGAACGTTTCTCCGAAGATGATAACCAAGAATCGATTTGAGGACGAGCATCAACATGTAATGGCTTATGGAAAATCTAGAAAGGCAAAGAAAATAATGTGAGACATCTTGTTAATATCAATTTTAAATTAACTTTTTTAATTAATTTAGAATCATACCTTTATTTTGGATGGCTCATGTTTATGGACGGTATCAAGCCAAGAATCAATCCTCGATTGAGCCATAACATGAATTGGTCTACGGTTGAACTAGATTAGAAAATCGTACAATTAATTTTCAAGTTTGATTATCATCAATACGTACAATTTGAACACTTGAGGCCCGTGTGGATCGTACGTTCCATGAATCAACCTTAGAGCGTCCATGAACATGTAATGGTTTGTGGATAACCTTACAAAAAAGATCAAGTACAATACTCAAACTCTCTTTTATCAAGACATACACCTACTTTAAGTGCGTTTGTAGACGATCGATAAGGTGTTGGTCTCCAAGTGTCAACACGAGATCTTGAAATGATATGCAATGGCCGGTGTTTGACGACAGGAACACTATAAGAACGTTTTCTTGAAGATAATGACCATGAATCAACTTGTGGTCGAGCATCCACGTGCAATGGTTTGTGTAGGATCTAAGAACAATCGCAGTTAGAAATAATCAAATGAAGAATATTTGTATAATAATATGAGGCATATTTTTAATATTAATTTTAAATTAACTTTTTTAATTAGTTTAGAATCATACCTTTATTTTGGATGGCTCATGTTTATGGACGGTATCAAGCCAAGAATCAATCCTCGATTGAGCCATAACATGAATTGGTCTACGGTTGAACTAGATTAGAAAATCGTACAATTAATTTTCAAGTTTGATTATCATCAATACGTACCATTTGAACACTTGAGGCCTGTGTTGATCGTACGTTCCATGAATCAACTTTAGCGCGTCCATGAACATGTAATGGTTTGTGGATAACCTTACGAAAAAGATCAAGTACAATACTCAAACTCTCTTTTATCAAGACATACACCTACTTTAAGTGCGTTTGCAGACAATCGATAAGGTGTTGGTCTCCAAGTGTCAACACGAGATCTTAAAATGATATGTAATGGCCGGTGTTTGACGACAGGAACACTATAAGAACGTTTTCTTGAAGATAATGACCATGAATCAACTTGTGGTCGAGCATCCACGTGCAATGGTTTGTGTAGGATCTAAGAACAATCTCAGTTAGAAATAATCAAATGAAGAATATTTGTGTAATACCGTCTGTACTTGTGATCGCCCTTGTAATGGATGTTTTCTCCACGTATCAATACGACTTCGTGCTTCAATATGTAAGGGCTTATGTTGAATCTACCCAGCAATCACAAGCATTAATGCAATAATTAGATAATCACGATGTGCAAGTGATCTTACCTCGAATGCACTATGTGCTGTCCTTAATGGACGACGCAGCCAAGTATCTATTCGGCTTCTTCCTTCAATTTGAATTGGTCGATGAAATATCTTAAAAGTAAACAATTTTGAGCTTTTGCCTCTCTCAGTAGAAAACTACCTTCTGTAATTGTGATCGCTCTTGCAATGGATGTTTTCTCCATGTATCAATACGACTTCGTGCTTCAATATGTAGGGGCTTATGTTGGATCTACCAAGAAATTACAAGCATTAATGCAATAATTACCATAATCACGATGTGCAAGTAGGCTCGTAGTCAGGAGTTTTGCGAAGGTGGATCCACTTTTTTGCCTTCAGAGATTGTATGAAGTCTTATCAACTAGCAACTTTTTCTGACGAGATTCAGTGGAAAAAAATCTTATTTTCGAAAGTCAGGGGGGAACCGATCCTCCAATCCCTCCCCCTCTGCTGCGGCCCTGTGAGCAAGTGTTCTTACCTCGAACGCACTATGTGCTTTTCTTAATGGACGACGCAACCAAGTATCTATTCGGCTTCTTCCTTCGATCTGAATTGGTTGGTGAAATATCTATTAGCATACAAATAGTACTCTGTAGAAAATGATGATGAATAGAGAATTCCATTTACTTTTTGTATCTGGGATCTTTGTTCTAAAGAATGTGGTCTCCATGTGTCCACACGACTTCTTGCATCAATGTGTAATGGTTTATGTACAATCTAAAAGTAACAGATACACTACTATGAAACACAACTATTTCAGCATCTTAGATCTCACTTCAATGGCACTACGATCTGTTCTTAATGGTCGACGCAACCAAGTATCTACTCGGCTTCTTCCTTCGATTTGAATTGGTCGATGAAATATCTTAAAAGTAAGCAGTTTCGAATGTTTGCCTCTCCCATTGATAAGAAAACTACCTTCTGTAATTGTGATCGCTCTTGCAGCGCATGATGTCTCCATGTATCAATGCGACTTCGTACTTCAATATGTAAGGGCTTATGTTGGATCTACCAAGAAATTACAAGCATTAATGCAATAATTACCATAATCAGGATGTGCAGGATTCCCGATCAGAGGGGGCTGGCCCCTCCCGATAAACATGTTTGGACTTTCGGGCAAAATCTTTGAGGGTTGCGCAGAAAATTTTTAGCGCCTCTCATCCCTGAGAACAATCGGAAACCCTGAGGATGTGCAAGTGTTCTTACCTCAAATGCACTCTGTGTTTTTCTTAATGTTCGACGCAACCAAGTGTCTATTCGGCTCCTTCCTTCGATTTGAATTGGTCGATGAAATATCTATAAGGATAGAAACAGTATTCTGTAGAAAAGGATGATGCATGCTATTAAATACTCAGATAGATCAAATAAAATAATCAAAGACTTGCGAGAGGTTCGCATAAAAAGCTCGATTTACTTTTTGTATCTGGGATCTTTGTTCTAGAGAATGTGGTCTCCATGTATCCACACGACTTCTCGCATCAATGTGTAATGGTTTATGTACAATCTAAAAGTAACAGATACACTACTATGAAACACAACCATGTCAATATCTTAGATCTTACTTCAATGGCACTACGAGCTGTTCTTAATGGTCGACGCAGCCAAGTATCTACTCGGCTTCTTCCTTCAATTTGAATTGGTCGATGAAATATCTTAAAAGTAAACAATTTTGAGCTTTTGCCCTCTCTCAGTAGAAAACTACCTTCTGTAATTGTGATCGCTCTTGCAATGGATGTTTTCTCCATGTATCAATACGACTTCGTGCTTCAATATGTAGGGGCTTATGTTGGATCTACCAAGAAATTACAAGCATTAATGCAATAATTAGATAATCACGATGTGCAAGTGGTCTTACCTCGAATGCACTATGTGCTTTTCTTAATGGACGACGCAACCAAGTATCTATTCNCCTCTCTCAGTAGAAAACTACCTTCTGTAATTGTGATCGCTCTTGCAATGGATGTTTTCTCCATGTATCAATACGACTTCGTGCTTCAATATGTAGGGGCTTATGTTGGATCTACCAAGAAATTACAAGCATTAATGCAATAATTAGATAATCACGATGTGCAAGTGGTCTTACCTCGAATGCACTATGTGCTTTTCTTAATGGACGACGCAACCAAGTATCTATTCGGCTTCTTCCTTCGATCTGAATTGGTTGGTGAAATATCTATTAGCATACAAATAGTACTCTGTAGAAAATGATGATGAATAGAGAATTCCATTTACTTTTTGTATCTGGGATCTTTGTTCTAAAGAATGTGGTCTCCATGTGTCCACACGACTTCTTGCATCAATGTGTAATGGTTTATGTACAATCTAAAAGTAACAGATACACTACTATGAAACACAACTATTTCAGCATCTTAGATCTCACTTCAATGGCACTACGATCTGTTCTTAATGGTCGACGCAACCAAGTATCTACTCGGCTTCTTCCTTCGATTTGAATTGGTCGATGAAATATCTTAAAAGTAAGCAATTTTGAGTTTTTGCCTCTCCCATTAACTCTGATCCGACCACCTATCATATGCCCAAATTCTACCGTTTTTATTTGGATACTGTCTGAACACTATGGTTAGATTTTACCGCTTCACTTTATATTCCACTGAATGACAATAGGATGTACTATCAAAATATGAACTGATTGCATTCACTCATTATTTATCTGGCAGAGCAGCAAGACTGTCTTCAAGGCGCTCGTTTTCCTCTGGGGTCCGTCCCAGATGAACGGATCAGGGTTAGCAAAAAAACTACCTTGTGTAATTGCGATCGCTGCAATGGATGATGTCTCCATGTATCGATGCGACTTCTGGCTTCAATATGCAATGGTTTATGATAAATCTTAAAAAATAAATAAGACTCACTTAAAGTTCAATAAGTATTGGAATCAGAAAAACTTTACCTCTATAGCACTAAAAGCTTTTCGAATCGGACGTTTTAGCCACGAATCAATTTTAGACTTTCCTTCAATCTGCATAGGTTGATGAATAATCTTTAAAATAGAAAGAGAAATGAGTATGCATGGATGCAAATACTCAAGTTGTACTTACCCTTGCGCTTGTTGTTCTAGCGCGATATGGTCGTTTTAACCATGAATCAATTCTGGCTTTACCCTCGATTTTTAAAGGTTGATTAAAGGTTCTTGGCGTTGTAGAAGGTGTTCGTTGATCTTCGTTCCATGTATCACGAGGTTTAGGTGCATAAAATATTCGTGGTGGTTTTATATACGGTTTAATTAACGGAGGTCGTTTATAACCACGATTCCAAGAATCAATTTTAGCTACAGCTTTGCGAATTTTTTGCCAGGCAATTTCTTTGCGTATCATTTTTAGTGATACTCTTCGTAATATTTCGCGTCGATTTGGACGATACGAGGGTGGACGACGCCATAGAATTTCTGGTTGTTCAACTGATAAAGCACGTTCACGAATGGGTACTTTACGAGATGTACGATGAATAGGCAAAGTGACTGAACGTGGACGCTGTCGATCAATAAATGGTGATGTTAAAGAATAACGAGTAGTATTATCCACAAATTCACAGACGGCATGTAAAGCACGATTAAATAGTGTATATCCTATGGCGTGATCAGATGCCTAAAAATAGTAGATAAAAGATAAAAATTTTTCCTTTAAATTTTAAAGAAAAACCTACTTGATGGAATGAAATTTCAGTAGGTTCATAATTTAATGCTAATTCAGGTCTATTGTATTCATGAAACTGATTCGGAGGCATATACACTGCATAACTTTTATCATCATTGAATTCATAGATATCGGGTAATACCTGCAAAAGTAAGAAATGATAAATGTAAGTCAAATACTATGAGAAAAACCTACTTGATGGAATGAAATTTGAGTGGGTTCATAATTTAATGCTAATTCAGGTCTATTATATTCATGAAACTGATTCGGAGGCATATACGCTGCATAACCTTTATCATAATTGAATTCATAGATATCGGGTAATACCTACAAAAGTAAGAAATAATAAATATAGGTCAAATACTATGAGGAAGATCGACTTACTTGATCTGTATTGTATTGTTCGATATAATGTGTATTTGCCCGGTCATAGTAAACATCGGATAAATCGTGTTGGCGAGCTAAATAATAGGTAATTGTTGAATGAGAAGAGGGAGGCTGACTAATTTCAGTTGATGACGATGAAGCCACACTAGCTGTCTAATAAAAAGACAAACGAGATTATGCAAAAAAATGGTATTTCAGATCACATTACACTTACTCTCAATGATTCTTCATATTCTTTTATGATAACAGGTGGTGGACGAAGCTCCTAAAATAAAAACGGTTAGTATTAGTTCTAAGATATTTATTTTCGTTTACAGACTTCATTCCAACAATCAATTCTTGATTTACGTTTATAAATCACAGGATGATTAATAATCTAAATACACTCGATATCTCTCCTTTCTGCTATAGTTTATTTATAACTTACTTTTGGTGGTGGTGGTGAGGGTTTTTTGTATTCAATATTTCTTGTAACAATTCGACTTTTGGCTTCAATTTTGATCGGTTGTGATTCAATCTGAGTAAAATCCAAAAAGGTTAGATCTATAGAAGGAAAGAGAGTATATTATGCTTAGTTTTACCTTTACTGTTGACACAGGTTTCGTGTACTCAATATTACGTGTGACAGTTCGACTCGTAGTTTCTATTGCAACAGGTTGAGAAAAGATCTAAAAATTAATATTAGATAACAGACAGTTTTCATTATTGATAATTTTCTCAGACTTCAATTGTTTTTTGTTCAGGTTTATAATCCTTGTTCCACGTATCTATTGTTGGTTTAACATCGGGTATTTCAGTTTTATGCGATACAATCTAAACGAAGAATTTTATCCATTAGCATATAGGCTGAAAATTTGTCTTTTGGAGAAGATACCTTAATTTCTCCACCTTGTTTTGTATATGTTCGATTCCATGTGTCGACCTTAGGTTCTGGGGGATCGATATTTACAATCTCTCTAAATATCTGAACGCAAAAAGCTGAAACAATGTAAAATCACTAAGATCTATTTTTAGAATACCTTAATGTTTCCACCATGTTTTTCATATGTTTTATTCCAAGTATCGACAGTTGGACGAGCATCTACACTTGTTCGACGTGTAGTAACAATCTAGATGTAAAAATATCAATTGTTGAATCAAAATTTTTGCATAATAATAACAAAAAAAGAAGTGGATTTCTTCTGAACAATAAAGTCTATCGTGCATGCTCATCATACCTTAATGTTGCTTTTTTTAGGTTTATACTGTTTATTCCAGTTGTCCAATCGCCCACCAACATTGTAGTTTTCAGCTTTTGAGAATATCTGCAATAAACAGACATGACCAATTTCTTAGTTTACGTGATAACAAAAGAACGTTCATACTTTAATATTTCCTCCACCTGGTTCATAATCTGTATTCCATGTGTTTACCCTTGATTTTGGTTTGTTATGATCGACAGAACGTGAAAATATTTTGACATTTCCACCTTGACGACGATAATTATTCCAGTTGTCAACGCGAGGACGCAATTTATCAAAATTAGTACGCTCAGAAAATATCTAAATAAAGAAGGAGATTCGTACAGATATTAAGAGAATCTTGAGACAATGAACAATAACATACTTTTACGTTACTTTTAGAACGATCTGGTTTCCAATTATCCAAATTCGATTTTGCGTTATAATCGGTATTTTTTGAGAATATCTTAAAAAACGTCATTTGTATTATAAGCGAAGGTATTCTGTAACAGTATAAGCCTACTTTAACATCTCCTCCGCCAGGTTTATAATTTCTATTCCATGGATTTACTCGGGATCTACCACCCACAATTGGACGTTTTGGATAAGTCTGAAAACACGTCATAGAAATTAATTAATTTGAATTTGAAATTGTTGTTGTTGTTATAGCTAGTACATACTCGGACATCTGATTTTGGTCGACGACGTCTTGTGTCGTGTTTTGTATCAATTACATTATAATTAGCTGTAGAGTCAAATATCTAAATTAGTGAAAACAGATTATGATATATTTTTACTGTTTTGTAGTTTACTAAAACGTACCCTTAAATCTCCACCACCGGGCACATAACCTCTGTTCCACGAATCTACTTTTCCACGTACTTCCGTCATTTCTCTTCGTCTAGGAATATTCGTTTTTTGTTGTTGATGATGTTCTTGAATCGTTTGCACAACCGATGTGGGTCGAGTAGTTGCCGGTTTTGAGTAGTACGCATCATGATCACGAGTCTCTTCTTGAATAATTTGAGTTGATGGGGTTGATATCTCTGTTCGTTGCACGGGTTTTTGAGTCATTATTACAGTTTCTACCGGCCTAGTTGTCGGTTGGATCGTTTCTATTACTTCTATACGAGATGTAGGTAACTGACGAATTTCAACAGGTACCGGCTGTTGAATAACAGCTACTGGTGGTATAAAGCGTTGTTGCTGTTGAGTAAAAATAACTGGAGGTGGTGCAGGATGAACAGGTACTACTGGTGGAGGCAGTCGAAACGGTTGAGCCCAAATCTAAATCGAATCATACGTAATATATAGCTAATAACGAATAGCAATAATTCAAAGCTACTTGTTTGAAATTGTCATAATAGTCAATTTCTTGCTCTGTAGCTGGTCTTATTGTGCCATCAGCATTTTCGATGTAAAACTAAACAGAACGGCAACTTTTAGTGTTTCATAAGAAAGTCATCCAAAATTCACTTACCACACCACCAGTATCTAATGCTAATTTCTTTAATGAAGGTACCAGAGGTCTCGGGGGAGGTAGAGAAATAATCTGTGGACGAACGAAAGCAGGAATGGGAGTGACAATCGCTACTGGCTGTTGCTAAAATATAACAGTATTAATAGCTTATGTCTCAGTTGGATGTCATATTCTCTTTTCCGACTATTTAAACAAAATGTTTGATAATGAACCCAAATATGCTAAAATGCATCGTTTAACTTTCTCTCTTACCTGTCTAACTGTTACTGTTGGATAAGATGGTGTTACGACTGGTATTATTGGTTGTTGTACTATTGTCGCTTGTTGATGAATGACAGGTATAATTTTCTCTTTTCTTTGTTGTTTAATAGTCACATGACCACTATCAGACGGAGTTGGATGTAAAATTCGTTTTTTTGACTGTTGTTGGTGAACTAAACTGGTCATGTGATCAAGAGAGGAACCGGTTGACGATGAGGATGCAGAGTATGATTGCTCAAGAACAACAAAATTTTTAGAATTATCTTCGACAGATGAGCATGACGAGGCAGCACCATGATCCTCATGTAAAACCACCACATTCTGTTCGTAAGTCTCACCATCTTCCATATCATCATGGGAATCAGTATCATGTGACTGAAAAATATTTGAAAATGCTGGCGGTAAAGTGCGAGCATGAATTTTCCGATGAACTACGGTACTGTGATCGATTGTCCCCTAAGAGATGAAGATGTAATTTGTAAGTACAAAAGCAAAAACGGTTCTAAATCGGCTGATCGAGTTTTTATTGAATTCTGAGTTATCAAGTATCCGAAATGGTAATAACTTACTTGAATTCCAGGTACACGCTGTGTGTAATGCAAAGCATGTGTTGCTTTAGATTGATCTCTCAATGGCAATGGTTCAGTTGAAATAATGTGATGAATATGACCACCATTAGAAGATGGATGATTAGTAGATGCATTAGCAAGTAGCTGAAATAGAAAAAACCAGAAACATTGAACATATCGTTCACTTCTATACAGCCTGACACATCTTTTTCATTTACCAACAGAAGCTGTCATTACCAGCATTTTGAAAAAGTCTCATTTTCGTACGTAGAAAATTGTTGTCGAAACCCTGACGGAGCTCATTCTGTACTCAGAACAAGATAAATGAGTCCATAGTATTAAATATACAGTCCTATAGTCTCTATTTTAAGTGAAAATCAACGAGTTTTGAATGAAACTTACTGCTTGCTGATGATTCACCATTAATCTTTGTGCCATAGATATCACTTATAACTTGTTATGAAAGATTAAATTCTACTAAAATGAAGCATACATTTCTCTTCTTTTCTCCTACAATACTAAAATAAAACAAGTACATAGCAACAATTTTTAAGACCACCTAGTGTGTACTGGAATTGAATATTATGAAAATAAAAAAGCAAACAACAAGAAGAAGGATAGAAATCGTAATGAGCCACACGTAAGCGACGAAAAACGTCTTAGTATATAAACACAGAAAGCAAATGTGAGTAGCCACTATAGACATTACTGTCACCTGTACATGACCGCCGCCTGGCTTATGGTCTACATTGACTAATGAACCAATTTTTGAATGCTAAAACATCATTTATTGTTAACGGCTATCTGAGTCTGAGTAATGGATTAGGCAAACAAAAGAAGAAAATTCATAATTTATTACCGTTGTTGTATCGTAGTTAGTTGGTGCATGCTTCGTCGCTGCATCTGCTGTTGTTGGCCTATTAGCACTTATCGATCGTTTTGTTGATGAAGATGTAGTTGCTGTTGTGCCGGAAGCTGTAGCCGGTCTTTGATGGATTCGATTTTGTGATGCTGCTCGAGTGTTATTTGTCCGTCCTGTCGTCAACAATGATGATGGGGTTTTTGGTCCTGTGTTCGAGGCACGCGAAGCAGCTGTTGATTGAGTTGATGTTGATGAAGTATGACTGGGGACCGCTTTTGTTGGCGGTTTTGTAGAATGTTGTGCAGGTGGAGGACGAGGTTTTGAGATCGTTGTTGTATTGGTGCGACAAGCAGTGGGTGCTGTGGATAAAATTTCATGATCTGCTGAAGCACTGACTAATGCTGAATTTGAACCGTCTTTTGGAGTTGGTGGTTTAGGGGAAGTTTTTACTGACGGGACGCGAGTAGTTAACGGAATAGTTGTAGGACGAGTATCAGATTGTTTTGGTGCCATTGATTTTGTCGTTACTGGTTCACGCTAAGAGAAAAACAATACACATTTAGATCCAGCTACTTTCTTTTTTCCAAAACTGAGCTGTTAGGATAAACAAATGATCATGAAGATATTTTCAATCAAGAGAATCAAGTAGAAAATGCTTTTGAAAGTACTGCCACTATCATCTCAAATTTGATATCGTCGGAAACTGATACAGAAAATACAGAAAAAAATGGTTAACATGAAGTAGTGCTGTCGTTTAAATTAAGATTGCTTACCGTTGGTTTTGGTTGTGTTGCACTCACATTAGTCGAATCACTCGTTGATGGCGTTTTTGTTTTTGTCACAGTTGTTGGTGAAGGTATTGTTGGTTTTTTTGTCGTTACTTTTGTATCAGTTTTCGCCTCATTATTTCTTGTCGATGATGCTTTTGTATCTGTACTCTTAACCGACGATGGCTTTGATGCTGTTGTCGTTTTACTGGCACTTGTTTGTCTCAGCGCACCAGCCGAAACGGGCTTTTTAGTTGTTGAAGCTGTTTGTTGTGATTGCGAAGATTCAGATGTTGGCGATTGTGGCTGTATCACTTCGGTGAGTGTTGGTGATGACTCTTCTTGTGTTTTAGGACTTAATAATGGTTCTTTTTCATCCTGTTTATAATTTTCATTATCTTCATCGGTGTTTGTTGATTGAATTCGATCTTGTTGCGGTGATTCAATTTGATCTCGGTGTGGGGATTTAATTTGATCTTGGTGCGGTGATTGAATTCGATCTTGTTGCGGTGGTTCAATACGATCTTGGTGCGGGGATTCAATTTGATCTTGGTGCGGCGATTGATGATGTTCTTCTTGATTATCAAATTCTAAAGGATTTGGGGGTTGTGTCTCAGGTGACGGTGTGTTGATCGAATCTATTCTTGTCGCTAATTCGTGAGGAGTTTCATTCAATTCATTTGACAAGTCATCGTAGCATTGGTGATCACCTTTTTCCTCCACATTATTTTCTTCATCATTATTCACAGTGGTCTTACGAGAGAAAAATAGAGAAAGCCGAGGTAAAAAAACTATATGATTATAAAGAGATTATCATTTTGCAGTTTATTTCAGTTTTAACTTACCTTATCGTTATCATCAACTTCTTCATTTTGTTGTAAATCAAATATCGGACTTGTAAAACTTGTAATATTTGCATGTTCATCATGCTCATTTTCGTTTTTTTCATTTAATTGTGATAACGGATCGTATTTTTCGTCGTCTGAAACAGGTTGAGGTGATGCAGAAACTATGTCATTTGAAGGCGGTGTAGTCAAATCAAGTAGCGTTGTATTGTTTGCAGTTTCAACAGTAGGCGATGAATTCTTAGGAGNTTCATTTTGTTGTAAATCAAATATCGGACTTGTAAAACTTGTAATATTTGCATGTTCATCATGCTCATTTTCGTTTTTTTCATTTAATTGTGATAACGGATCGTATTTTTCGTCGTCTGAAACAGGTAAAGTACATAAAAAGAAATTACGGATGAATCATTCCATTTGCTGACAATTTTTCTTTTGTACCTGTTGTGAATAAATCCTCGTCGTTATCGTATTGCTGATATAGATATTGTTCACCATTACTTTTTGTGGGTGATAATAAATCATTGTCCTCATGATGATGGTCACCATTATTTTTTGTGGGTGATAATAAATCATTCTCCTCATGATGATGATGATTATTATTATGATTATTGAATTGATTTGAGTCTAATAAATTTGTATTATGTTCACTGGTACCGTTTTGTTGTTGTTTCATTTGTGTGGAAAAGTAATTATCCTCATCACTACCAAATGGATCAGTATCATGTAATGAACGATTATGATAGGCATCATTTGGTGTGATGCCATTTCCATTTGTTTGAGGTTGTAGTGGTAATTGTTGTTTACTCGGTGTTGTAGCTGGTGAATGATTAGACTGTGGCTGCGAATCAAATGAAACTAAATTATTGTTAATTACTGTGTCATCAAATAGATTATGATCAGACATTTTGTTCTTCGAAAGACGTCGATATTAATAGACACAAATGAAGAGAGTGTGTCTTGTAATTCACTCTACTGTAGAGAGAGAAAATGTGTGTACGCACTCTAATCTAAAATGAACACAATTATGACAAGTAAGTTTTGATCTATGGGTACGGTGAAAGTTTTCTGAACTTATTTTCTGCTTCTCATTTACACCATGGATAAAACAAAGATGAACTGGAAATCTTAAAAAGGTCTAACGAAACATTCCAACGCAGTATGGCGATTTACTGCATATAATAACGACACTCATAGCACCGAAACAGATGTCATTCTTAGTTTCTCGGATAAACTTATTCTTTGATATCGTTTGTATTAAATTAATTCTAACGTGTTTTTTTCCAAATCCGATAGAGACTAATAATAACCGTTGATTTGTATCTGTCTTATTCTGTTTCGACAGCACTGTTTGGGCAGAGAGATATTGTTTGCAAACTTCATGGTGATGATGACGATGTATTACATTTGCGCAGCCCCTCCTAATCATTAACAATCGTATAAAACCATCGCTATACTGTTAAATCGTTTCTAAATTACACACTACGATACAGACACTAAAACTAAAATTTAAATGTCAAAATATTTAAAGCATATTACATAACGCTTAGCGTTTGGTATATGCTCGATTCGATAAAACATAGTCCGAGTAGAAAAAAGATGTTTATTGAAAATTACAACTATTTTCCTTTAAAGATAGGCTTTTCTAGAGAAAACACATTATTCATGATCTTTTCTGCGTTTTGATTTGAAAATTTCGAAAATTTTATTTTAATTCGAACCTCATCATTGAACTAAAAGATTCATGTTATGTAGAAAATACCAACGAGTAGAAAAACCACACATGTTCGAAAAATTGTTATTATTACAAATAGCAGAGAGAAGGATGATGAATCAAATTTGTTTGATGGTAACATCATTTATCTTGATTTAATATCTAAGAGGGACAAAACAAGTTCGTACAAGATTGATGATAATAAAATAATGATTATTGTCGATCTTGTACCACTATTTTGTCAAAATCATTTATATCGGTTCCTTCTATGAAGTTCAAATTAGCGCATGTTAATGAAATAAAAGGTTTAAAAATATTAATACTTTTGAATATTATACAATTTTTATATCAATTAATTCAGGACTATTAGTCCTCTTTGTCTTTCTTCTTGTTTACTCTAAAACAGTCTACATTCAAAAGAAAACTGACCTGTAACGTTTAGTGTTTAATAAATAAGCGTGCATCATTCATTAACTTAAAGATTTATAAAACTAACAGAAGATATACTTGACTAGTTTTAGAATACTTACTTTATATTGATCGTTGATAATTTTGCAGTAACAGTGCTCATTACATCGCTACATCAAATTATTTGAGATGCTTTCTATACTCTTTTTCTCTCTCCTTTCATCTTTTCATAATAGAGATATAAGATCAAGTATCAGTCGATAGAAATAAGGTGTATGTAAACATAAAAAAAGCGATTGATTGATGGACGGATGGATGGATGGATGGATGGATGGATGGATGGAAATACTGTATACATGAAGCATTGTGAGAGAATGAAAAAGAAGAAAATGAATGATTAAAAAATAAGATCTTGTGTGCGACATGAGGTCGAAAGATCGGTCTTATTCATTAACATTTTTTTTCTATATGGCTATAAATATAATCATTATTCAATAAATTAAAAATAACCTCGACATTAAAGTTCAGTTTAAGATGTGTGCAACAGCAGCTTGTCAAAAATAATATTCAACACATAAATATTCTTCTATTTCATCTTTAATATAAGAATTTAAATAGTGGTCAGTGAAGATGTAACAGATGCACACATCAAATATTCCTCTTTCATCCATCCTCGTTTTCTATTACAAGAACTATAGTCAAATGCAACATTGAATGCCTCATCAAATTAGTTTTAAGTTCAATATTAAATTCTTAGAAAATGAGATAATTTAAGTTCTCTTTTTTTTCCACTGAATTGCGAAGGTAATAGAAATCAGACGATGTGAGTTACATTTCTAGTTGATGATGTTGTCTAGTTATCAATTGCAACGGTGAACCTAAACTGACCGAGAATGCTAAATAATCTTTTACATTTGAAAATTTTCTCACAGAACAATAAGTTCCAGGTATCAAACTGAACAGCAAGCTCCTCTTATTACTCATCCTACTTCTAACTAAACATTTCTTCAAAGTTTAAATCTATCTTTTACATTCTGTTAAGAAAAGATTATGCCACAGACAACCTAATTTAATTTTAGCTTTTTGAAGCACGTGATAGTCGTTATAAATCAATTTTTTGCAAAGAAAACCTCGTTATGTTAAAAATAGTTACATATTAAATAAAAATTAGTCTTGACTGCTGAATGAGGCATATGCTTGAATGTAATACATTGTGTCATTATTTTATATAAATATAGAAGTCAAAATTGACCTTTATTCTTTTTACTTTTTTTATTTTTTGTTAAAAGACAAGTTTAACAATAAGAGTGAACTAAAACTATCAAACAACAGAAAAACATGATGATTTGTATTGAATTGTGTGTACATTTTTAATTTTTAATTAGTTTTTGATCTTTGCTTCTAGCAATAATAACCATTAAAATATGTACAGGAAAATCTCAATGAACATACAAAAGGTGTATGTAAAAACGTTATCCGGGAATAGTGAGTGAAATTCGTGGCAACTGTTTGCTGTCCATGAACTGAGCAAATGAGATATTAGCAAAATGAAGACAAATAATGACAACAAAAAAAAAGATCATGATTTGCATATCATAGAGATCAAGAACTTTTTAACATCGCTAAAAAAATCAAAAAAATATATCATCATACATCATATATTTTCCTGTTCTCTAATGTCAGCGAGTCACTCTAATAATTTTGCGTAAATCAAACAAATACATACCGAACAGAAATCAGCTGATAATAAAAGTGAAAAAGATAGTTGAGTACCACTCTATTAAAAATCAGTGAAACACTGGATGTTCTCAAATTAGTGTAAAAAAAACAACGTGTCAATCACTCGATTACATTTGTGAAGAAAAAACAAAGAGAAGAGACATGTCACTATACTGCAACAGTCTAATTTCAAAAATCATTAATTAATTTTTTTTTTTTTTTTTCTACAAACTGTCAGTTGAGAGCGAACAAGGATGATTTTATTTTGTCTTAACAAAAAAAAAAGATTTTATTCTTGAAAATTGATAATTAATCATAACATACCCTATAGCATATAGTTTCCTACACGTATGAGAAAATAATCGTTCAAGTATACTATAGTGACAGCATGTTTAATATATGATCTCTTTCTATATTTTATACTTTGTAAGTTATTAACGTAAAGAAAAAAGAGAGTTAATTTCTTTTTTCCGTTCACGTACAACTAAGAAAAGTAACAGAAGTCTTTTTTCTTTTTTTTTCTCTATTATATACATATATGAATTATTCTGAACAGTAACAAAACCTGTT